TTTGTTTAATTATTTTTAATTAACTTGAAGGGAACCTATGCATTTATCAAAAAATTACATAACAAAAAAAAAATATAACAGAAAATCATCGTCAGAGCTCTTCATCTTAAAGCGTTTAATGGCGATTTCCATTTGTCATCAGTGCCGCACTGAGTGCATCCGCATCTTTTTCTAAAAGCATGTAACATGTAAGGATAAGGATACATTTTTTTGCCCTGTTTCGACAAATGGAAAATGCTATAAATTTGATGAGAAAGTTTGTAGATGCATATATATAGAAAACAAATCTGACAATGTGTTGAAGTTAATTAAATTTGGTGTTTGTAGGTATAGATGTTAGCTGGAACAGGAACAGAGGAAAAATTTGTCATCATGTGTCAAAGTCGACAGGTGTACTTATTGTTGCTTGACAATTATTTTTACTTTTCGGCACTCAGTGCGGATAAGGCCTGTATCCGCACTGAGTGCGGAAAAGTGCAACTTTGAGAACCGAAATGCGTGCGGAAAAGTACTACTTTGCGCACGCTCGTAGGAAAAATACTTTTCCTACAGCCGTGCGGAAAAATCAATTTTCCGCACTCGGCTGCATCACCGAACTCCGCTACGCGTCGTTCGGTGAACGGCAGCCGCGTGCGGAAAAATTCATTTTCCGCACTTGTTAGGTAAATAGCTATTTCGCATGCAAAACCGTGTGAAAAGTTAGGTACTTTTCGCACGCCGTGCGGAATAATTGATTTTCCAGGTAAGTTAGTAGTGCGTTTTTAATGGCTTTCTAGAGTAGTCGTAGAAAAAGAATTTTTACAGCACTGAGTGCGATAATAGTAGTTTTCCTAATCAGTGCGCAAAGTTATGTTTTCCCGCACGCGAAAGCAGTTAGACGAACGACGCGAAGCGGAGTTCGGATAAGCTTTAAGTGCGGGAAAACTACTTTGCGCACGTATTAGGAACAATATTTTTTCTACGAGTGAAATAACTATACTTCCTTTTTAAATTTTTAATTTCTATGGGCATCAAAAACAACAATTTGTTATAACTAACTATAGTTAGGGAGACGACCGCATTTTTCCTACCCCGATCGAGTTATGTGTCGACACTATTATCAATATATAGTATTATGTGCATCTATTAACCAGTATTCCTGCCTGAGAGCAAATGCTGCCGGAAATATCTTTTAACAAATTATTAACAAATTGAAAAAAAACGTAACACTACCCCCATCGAGTTATGCCCTAAGTAGGGTATCAGATTGAAGGTCTCGATGGCGTCCTCTCTTAGACCCTTTGTCAAATACACTCCACCTGTTATTTGGGTAACTATGACGTCATGAATCGTAGTATGTGTAGTATGATGTTTACCTGTCGCTAAAATACGCCTAATAAGTTGATAGAAGGTCTGTTTGCACAGAAATCACAAACCAGTCAGAGTGAATTTCATTGGTTGGAAACAGTCAGGAAACTAGTTTCAAACAATGAAATTCACTCCTTCTGGTTTGGGATTTCTGTGCGAAGAGAACTTAAATCAACTTATTGACACCTTTAATTTGACACATCATTCAGCGCAAAACTTGATAGGTGTCAAAGCTGAGACCGCGGGCCCTTGCCCCAATAAGCTGCCCTGCCACCCTTTTCCGGCAAGTTCTCACGAGGCAGGATCGACTTTTTAGATAGGGGACATCGAGACCTTCAATCTGATACCCTACTTAGGGCATAACTCGATGGGGGTAGTGTTACGTTTTTTTCAATTTGTTAATAATTTGTTAAAAGATATTGCCGGCAGCATTTGCTCTCAGGCAGGAATACTGGTTAATAGATGCACATAATACTATATATTGATAATAGTGTCGACACATAACTCGATCGGGGTAGGAAAAATGCGGTCGTCTCCCAGACTACTAGGTATATCTAAATCGGCAAAAAAAATTTCAATCACCTCTCCGCGAGGCTTTCCCTCCTAAATAAGGGGGCCCGCGGGGCTGTGCCCCCCAAAAAAGGCTCCCGCGGGGTTCCGCCCCCAAATATGGGGCTCTCGCACCCAAAAATAGGGCTCCGCTCCCCAAATATAGGGCTCTCGCGGGGTTTCGCCACCTAAAGACGGGCCCCCGCGTGGCTGTACCCCTCAAAAAGTGTCTCCCGCGGGGCTCCGCCCCAAATATGGGGCTCTCGCAAGGCTTTGCCCTCCAAATAGGGGGTCCCCAGATTTTATTATGGGTACCAGAAAAAAAAGTGTGCGGGAAAAACATTTTCCCGCATAGTGTGCGCAAAGTAGTTACTTTGCGCACTCTTTTGGGATAAGGCTTCTTTGCGTACGCAAAAGTGTGCGCAAAGTAGTTACTTTGCGCACACTCGTAGAAAAAGAATTTTTACAGCACTGGGTGCGGTAAAGTGCTCCCTACGGCACGCAAATTAATGCGGTAAAGTGTACTTTACCGCATGCGAGTAGGAAAAATACTGTATACCGGGTTCCCACGAGATCACTTTCCGGCTGCCATTTTTTTATTTGTTTATCGATATCAACGAAACTTGATAGGTTTGATATTCTAACGAAACGCCATTTTTATGCATCCATGACAAGTTTTCCTGACTTCTGGTTTCACCGGAAATAACAGAAACTTTTAATTTTCAAGTGGCACACCCTGTATATTTTTTATTTTTTGGATTCTACAGATCGTTTTACGTCCTAATGTACCAGTTTTAAGTAGAAAAAAAAATACCTGCATAATAAAACAAAAATATTTGAACGAAAATTAAGAAAAATGTCGTAGTGTATTATATCGTTGGATTTGCTTCAAAATACTGCATTTATATAGTAATGTTATGAAAGTGATATGTTTCTATTCTAGTTTTTGAGCTAGGGCAAAAATACTAAAATAATGAAGTTCACAGCCCTCTATCAAAAAAGTTTACAAAGATAAAATTGAGTTTGTATTTTTCTGAACTTAAGTAAAGTATGTAGAGTCATTTTAGGATGATCATGGCACTCTAGTGAAAAAATTAAAATTTAATTTAAAAACAAAATTTGGACAAAACTCGATTCAAAAGTGGTGCATTAGGACGTAAAATGATCTGTAGAATCTGAAAAACAAAACATATACAGGGTGTGTCATTTAAAAATCAAAAGTACCGGGTATTTCCGGTGGAACCGAAAGTCAGCAAAAACTTTTCATAAATGCATAAAAATGCGTTTGGTTAGAATATCAACCCTACCAAGTTTTGTTGATATTGATGGACAAATAAAAAAATAGCAGCCGGAAAGTGATCTCGTGGGCACCCGGTATAATTCGTATGATAATTAGGTTATTATTACCGCCCTTAGAAATTATTGCAAATCTCGCCTCACCAGCTCGGTTTGCAAATTTCAGTCAATAGCAGGGATGTTCCGAGAGAATTTGTAAATGTGCACTTGACAGTTTAAAAAGTGGGCATATCTGACACAAATTGTGCATCCCCTTGTTTTTCAATGCTTTCCAATGTTGCCAGTTTCGATTGCCATTATTTTGTATTTTTATTGTCGCTTGTTGAGTAAGCTGGACTAAGCTGGGGCCGGCTGGGCAGTGGCGTACCAAGGATGATACACACCTACAGGATTGCTTATCGGCTTCCTTTTTGGTAATTGCCGCCATATTGGTGTGTCAGCATTTCCGAGGTCTAACTAGTCGTCAGGGCCCGTATTCTCGGAACAAGGGAGCAGCATTCTCATGAGAATGAATGTTCTGTCCTAGTCCCCCATATTGTTATTTCCACAATACTGACAAAGACAAAACCATCGTTCTTTTGAGAACGCTATTCCCCAGTTTCGAGAATACGGTTCCAGCCATTGACGTCCCAGCTGTTTAAACAGTCTACGCCAAGGCGAGAAATAACATGCTACCTACTTTACAAGTGGTGATTTGGCTTGGGGGAAAGAGGGGGAATTTGTTCCACGCGGGCCTTATGAGGATAGGCCATCCTATAGTAGCAGTATGTATCATCCTTGGTGGCGTACAGGTTAGTAGAGTGTACTGAGTGTAGAGTATAGGAGTATGTATAGAGAGTTCAGTGTAGTTATACTCAGTACCAATGTACTGAAATGAAACCCCAAATTCAGAATATTTTGTGTTTTATTTATTGACTGAAAAATTATGGCAGATTTATTCTAGAAATCAAAATGTGCATATCTAGAGATTGGGGTGCATACTGTGTAAATAAATTGAAAGTGTGCATCAATATGCACAATTGTGCAGTTTGGAACATCCCTGGTCAATAGTCAACAGTCTTGGCTGATTGATCATCGCCTATCGCTACGGATCACAAACTTTAGCCCGGCCGTTATGCTATTAATCGGCCTTGTTAGGTTAAATTTTTTTTTTTCTAGTAATTGTAACGTAAAGTTTATGGAAATTTAAGATAAGATTAATATTGTAAGATCGGTTTTCCTCTAAAATTGTAGGTTTTACAGCTTGTCAAAGTTGCAAAAAAGTCAATTTTCAATTGTCAATATTTCCAAAACAGTTGAACTTACGTAGCTATTAAAATTTGGTATTTTTTTTAACAAAATGTATGGAATTAGGAATAAGAAACCCTACAAAATGATGTATCACTTGACCTCATTGAAGATTTCCTAGGGGGTGGCTTTGGGGGCTGGGAGGCTTAAAGGACGAGATGAATTTTGCATGAAAACTCATCCCCCAACAAATTATACTTGACATTTTTCAGGGATTTTTTCGAAATTTTTTTAACTCCGAGATAATAAGGGGGATAAGTTTTAAAATAACAACCTGTATAAATATAAAAAGATAAATAAAGATGTGCTACTTTTTACAGAGTTTTGCGTATTTTTTTTTTCCTAGGAATATGGTCCTTAATTAAATGTGAATAATTTTGCAAGATAAACAGCCAAAAAATCTTTTTTTAGGAATACCCTCTTTTATTATTCAACAAATTTTGCGGCCTACTCGGTTTCCTGTGTGTGAATTAATTAGGTTTATTTGCTATTGCTTATTTGTTTCACAAATAGTGTTAACAATTTCTTTGTCTTTTGAAAAGTTAAAATGGGGAATAAGTGCTGTTCCTGTGATTCATCAAGGAAACGCAAATCAGGTAAGTGAAGTTTTAGGTATACCTAATTATAGAAAAAAAAATTTCATCTGGTATTAAATGGTTTTGTGAAAAAAAAAAAAATTTAGATACTCGCCCTACGGGCTCGTGATCAAGACAAACCCTCGCCTTATGAGAACGAGATTTAAAAAAGTCACGCCCTGCGGGCTCGTGATTGAAAAAACCTTCGCCCTACGAGTTTATGATTTAAAAAACCCTAAGCCTTGTGATTTTTTTGTTAAAAATACAACTAAAAATTGGTAATGAACTTTCGTACTTCGGGATCAGTTCACCTTTGCAGATATTTGTAGAATAACTTCAGGGCAAAAATATTTAGTTTTTTTTTAAAAAAAATATTTTTTCAGGATCTTCATCTTATACACAACAAACACCTCCACATCTCGACATAAATCCGTCCGCAGTTGGTCAACATCCCCAAAATCTCACCACTCGAAAAATCGTCGTGGCCCTTTACAATTATGAAGCCAGAGATTCACAAGATATCTCCTTCTACAAGGGAGATCGTATGGAAGTCCAAAATAACTCCGATCCCGACTGGTTGTTTGTTCAACATTTAAACACCGGCCGCCAAGGTTACATTCCTGGTGTTTTGGTAGCGATCGAACTCAGTGTTGAAAGTGAAGATTGGTTTTTCGAGAACATTTCTCGTATAGAGGCTGAAAAGTTGCTCTTGGGTGACACCTCTCAGTCCAGAGGTATTTTTCTCATCCGCACCTCCGAGCACATTCCCGATGGGTATGCTTTGTCGGTGAAAAACTGGGACATGGACAATGGGTATTCGGTGAAACATTACAGAATTAAAAGAATGGATACTGGAGAATATTTTATTTCATTTCATCAGGGAAGGAAAAAAGCTTTTAATTCGTTAGCAGAACTAATTGTTGCCTACAGCGAAAGTACATTTTACCATAATCTGTAGTTTGAATTTAATGTTTTTCGTTCTAGTGAATCTTCCTAATTTGTGCTACACGCTAACAAAACCCTGTAGGAAACCTGAACCTACTATGAAAGACTTAGCATATGGTTACAAGGATAAATGGGAAATTCCTAGGGATGAAATTGAATTAGTGAAAAGGTAAGCTTTTAATTCTTGTGTATGTATCAGAAGAACTTCTTTTAAAAATAATTTTAGTATTGGTGAAGGTAACTTTGGAGAAGTCTGGTACGGAAAATGCAGGAACCGATTCGAAGTTGCAGTGAAAACGCTGAGAAAAACCGACACCAAGTCTAGAGAAGAGTTTCTTCAAGAAGGTGCTATCATGAAAAAAGTCCAGCACAGAAGACTGGTAAGTCTTTTGCGTAATCGAACATATTTCAGGCATAATTGTAAAATCTAACCCAGTTTAAAATGGAGGTCTCTGCCCGCATACAGCAACCATACGTACTATGTACGTACCTGGTACGTAACTCTTGGACGAACGTCACGTCCCAGGTACGTACATGTACGTACAAGAACGTACTATGTACGTACTGGGAACGTACATTTTCCAACGTTATGTACGTCCCAGGTACGTCCCTTGGATGTGGTAATGTACATACTATGTACCAAAATTGGCTGTAAAATGGACGGAATATACGTACATAGTACGTACCATGGACATACATCTTTTGAGTGGTAGGGCTCAAATTAAAATAAGTATTATACTTTCAAATTGGTGTACAATGTTTATTGAATTAATTGTCACACAATAACTATGAAAGGTACAAACGGAACGTGAAAAAAAAAACTTAAAAATACATGGCTGTGACTAAACGTCCGAACTAGTCGCACCTAAAAATAAAAAAGCAGAAATTACAACTACAGCCGCTCTTCTGAGCAAAGCCTTTATCAGCTCTTCAGTTTCCTTTTGATCTTTTGCTTTTTTTGTGTTTTCCGAGAATTCTGAAATTTAATTAATTTACCCATAACTATGGTTGAACCAAATCCAAGCGGCAGTAAAGACATAACTGGTCATTCTCATTACAGCCTACCAAATGTCCTCCGGTATTTGTTTACAATTTAGGTTATAATATCATTTACTACCGCTTGGATTTGGAAATGGTATAGGTTTCTAGGACAATAATAGGAGGAATCTCATTTAGTGAAGATTTTAACTACTAATAGCTTAAAATTTAAATCAAGTCATAGCTTAGATCATTGAAGTCATAGTAGCCACTGGCGCCGACTACATGGGGGCATCGGGGCAGGTGCACCCATGAGCAACCTCTCATGGGTGCTCCGCACCCATGAGAGCTCTCGTGGGTATTGCGGAAGTACAAGTGTTTAATGGTCATTCCAACGGTGGTTCAGCTATAAGTACTTGGTATTTGGCTTACTTTTTACTTACTTTTTGATTTTGTTTTTCTTCTACTTGTACCTATTTTTTCGGGTGTACAGTGTGTCCCATTTTGGATGTACATAAGGGATATCTCTGTTTCTATTGGAGTTAGATGGATGCGGTTTTCGCTCGGGTTTTCGGGAACGTTAGCTTCTTTTCTGTCAAACGTAAGATGCCGTCAACACAATTGTCCTCGTCCTTTTCGTTCTTCAGATACAAGGTGCTTTTGAAAATGTTACATTCTGGGACACCCTTTGTATCTCGGCTCTCTCATAAGTAATCGAAAACGTGACAACGGGTTCCTATAGATATTTTTACGTAGATTCCAGAAGCGTTATCAGTTTTTCTCTAAAAGCGATAGTTTTTAAATTATGAACCCAAACATACATTATTTCAAATGAGACACCCTACATATTATAACCTCATTGAATAGCTTTGCTTTTGCAGATTTCAATGATATAAAATTCGATAGCTTTATCTTTGACAGTTTTCGAGCAAAAAATTTTTAAATCTGCTTTTGTCATGAGAAACAGTGTTGCAGTGTTTCACTTTCTCATTTTCCTTAAGGTGCAAAGTCCTTTTTTGAAACTTTGTTCCTTATGACAAAAACAAACAGGATGGATAGATATACCTATTGAACTTTAGACCATTAAAATCAGCAGAAGCAGAGCTATCCAATGAGCCATTAATACAGGGTGTCTCATTTGAAAAAAAACGTATGTTTGGTTCACTATTCAAAAACTGTCACTTCTAGAGAAAAACTGACTTCGCCACTGGAATCTATGTAGAAAGATCTATAAGAACTCGTTGTCCCCTTTCCGATCACTTATGAGAGAACCGAGATACAAGAGGTGTCTCAAAATGCAACTTTTTCAAAAACACCTTGTATCTGAAAAATGGAAAGGGCGATGTAGCCAACGTTCGCGAAAACCGTATCCTTCTCTAACTCCAATAGCAACTAAGATGTGCCTTATGCATGTATAGGGTATTTGATTATATTTGGACCCATACCTACAGCCTTTACTATTTGAGATAGAAAAAAAATTTAAATACAAAACTTTACAGTTTTTTTCTATATTTTCTTTTAACGGTATGAGAAAAAAATAAAATCGCATCGAAAAATGGGGATACGTAGGCAACTTCGACTTTTCTCGATGGGACACCCTGTATATTATGCGATCAAATGAAAGATCTTCTCTTCCTGATTCCAAATATATATGCATTGATTACATTCGGGTGAGCTGATTTTGATATATCTTAGCTTATATTATAAATTAAATTCAAAGAAATTTTATAAAGATTTAAATGTCTTGACATCCTTATGAAATTTCTTTGCAAATTATTTATAATTTAAGCTAAAATAATAATGTCAAAAACAGCTCACTCAAATGTGATCAATAAATATATATTTGAAATCAGGAAGAAAAGATCTTTCATTTTATCGCAAAATATACAGGGTGTTCCATTAAAAAAAGTTGAAGCTGTCTACGTTTCTCCATTTTCCGATGCGATTTTGTTTTTTCTGATACCGTTCGAAGAAAATATAGAAAAAAACTGTCAAGTTTTGTATTTAAATTTTTTTTCTAACTTAAACAGTAAAGGCTGTAGGTATGGGTCCAAATTTAATCAAATACCCTGTACAACCAAAATGGGATACTGTGTTTATACAGGGTGTCCCCGTTCAACTGGTCGAAAATGCTAGGGTATATAGAGGAACCATGGAGAACTAATTTGAGATAGGACACCGTATTTTTTTTTTGGTGGTTCCAATAATCCCTAAAAATTTGAATAGCCTAGCGAGATGGCTCCATTTGTGCTACTGTGCATTTGTGCTAATCCGCAAATGGTCTACTCACGAACGCGATCGGCTATGATCGGGATCAGTTAACATGATCGCGGAGGAGTAGCAAGAGTAGTTGAAGCTTATGAAGGTTTTGTGTACGCGGCGGGCGCGCGGAACATCTGGTGTAATCAGCTGATAATAATAAAAATAAATTAAAAAATGTATTTGTATTTAGTGAATGATTGTGGACTTTATTTTTATTAACTACAGTCTACAGTAGAGTTAAGATTTTAGAAATATATAATATACTTATTTATTAAAGCGTAGAGTCCTTGTAGAGTTTATACAGACGTGTAAAATTATTTATAAATGTAAAGTCAATAATACATATACCTATCAAAGTATCTCCCCAGATTTAAAATCATATGGGGTTGTATTATTGATTTATTTCCCAGAATATTAGGTCAATAAACCTAGCAGTCCCATATGGAAAAAAACGAAGGGATTGCTAGGTTAATATGAAATATAGCAGTCCCCTGTAGTGAAAAATATTTTTTTTAATTTTTCTTTGGTATCAGAATTTAGATAATATGCTTTTTAAAGTTCTCCTAAATACCTGGTCAAAGAAAAAATTGAATCAGTTAATTATTAACTGAATTACAGATTTTTTTTCAATATTAGGAAATTCCTGGATTCACGTTTACTTATTGGGGGTGTTTTAGAGGCTTACAGCCAATTTCATAATCAACTTAAAGTAAACTTTAAATATAAAGGTCCATTTGAAGTAGAAAAATCCCATCCTAAAAGTCTATTTAGCTAAAGTAACTTTTAATTCTCTATCATGAAATTGGCCGTTAAACCGTTAAAGGCTGAAATGTTTTTGGATTGAATTTAGGTACCTACTATTTAAGTGCTCCTAAATTGTCAAAGAAACACTTGAATCTGTTAATTATTAACTGAATTACAGTTTTTTTTCATTATTGGCAAATTATTGGCTTCACGTTCAGTTGGTGGTGTGTCAGAGCTAAAATGTTTATGGATAGGAATTAGTGCTATTTAAGTGCTTCTCAATATTTGAAGAAAAACTTGAATCAGTTAATTATTAAACTGAAGTACAAATTTTTTTTTCATTAAGGAATTGCTGGCTTTACATTTACTTGGGGATGTATTTGCATTGCAGCGAATCTGAAAACTGCGACTAAAATGTTGTATTGGAATTTGGTGCTATTTAAGTGCTCCCAAAAAGTTGAAGTTTTAGATAGTTCAAGTTTTTCTTCGACTATTCAGGAGCACTAAGATAGCACCTAATTCCAATTATTACAACATTATAGCCACTGTTATCAGTGTTATCAGTTTCGCTGCAAATATTTACACCCCCAAGTAAACGTAAGGCCAGTAGTTCAGTTCCCTATAATAATACAAAAAAAATCTATAATTCAAATAATATAACTAATTCATGTTTTTCTTTGACTATTTAGGAGCACTTGAGCACCTAAGTCCTATCCAGAAAAAATTTAGCTTTTAACCACCAACTAGTTAAACGTGAAGCCAACAATTTCCATTTCCTAATAATGAGAAAAAATCTCTATTTAGTTTAATGATTAACTGATCAAATTTTCTTTGACTATTTGGAAACACTTGCATAGCAAGAATCATAAACTATAGGATTGCTTTTCCTTATAAGGCGTACGTTCGCCAATTCTCGAGTCGGCAAGGCCTGCGAGTGACGTTAGTACTATTAGCAGCATAGCCTCTTATAGTGGTGACGTCACCCGCAAGCCTCGATGGGATGCTTGCGATTCAGGTTGTGCTTGTTTCTTCATCGATTTTAAATGTAGAAAAGGTGATTCCTGGTAATGAAAAAAATCTGAATGACTGTTCTTCTTCGACTATTTAGGAGCACTTGGATAGCTTATTTGCTAATTCCTATCCAGAAACTAGCTTCTGCACACAGTGGCTTTACACTCGGTAAACTCCGAGCAGTCCGAGCGCGCTCGAAACATTAAGATAGCGAAAATAGAATTCAACTTCTGGAATCTCTTTCTCAGTGAAAATGTTCTATCTTTGATTGTTGAGTACCCGAATCAATACATAGAAATTGTAAAACCGAAATTCATCAGATGGTTCAATTTTTTTATCAATGATTTAGTATATGTATCTCTGTGATACAGCGTGACTAATGATG